GCGTTGACAGTTTTAGGCAAGCTGTCGATCAAAAAAGCAAACCAAAGACAGACCGAGTTCCAATTCCAGACTGCAGTTCTCGAGTTCCTCGGCAATTCACACCTTGCCCGGAAAATGAAGTCGGACGGGGCGGGAAAATGTGGGGAATATGGTTACGGGTACGAACGGTTGTAAAATGCGCACAATCAGTGCTTCAAATCTAGAAAAATCAACAAAGGAATCGAACTCAACTGAAGTGACGGCGGGTTGGGGTTGGGGTTGGGTTTTAGGTGAGTGGCAGCCCAGTTTATCAATAGAGAGGGAGTACTACCTTAGACCTCATCATATAACATGTAATAATAAATAGAAAAAATATATATAAAATATGATAGAGCCAACTGTTGGTTGTGATAAGAAGGAGAGATGTTTATGGCTGTGGTAAGGGTGCATTGTTTGCCAAGGATAAACTTATGGCTAAGGGTGTCTTGAGATAAGCTTAGGATATGTGAGAAATGTCTAATTATTTCCATATTCGTTTTTCTGGAACCTGCCTATTCTAATAAGGTTAATTATCACCATAAACTAGTAACTATTAATATTGATTTACTTTAATAGCTGGCCATTATTTCAAATTGACCCACAAACAGAGTGACTAAAAATCTCCATCTAAGGCTATCAATACTGCAGATCAGATTTTGCGAATTTGTGAAAAGCATTTCCCAGCCAATGTGTGCCAATTTTATTTATATACAATTTGCAATCCAAAGAAACCCCTTAGGTGGCAGCAATAAAATCGAGCTCAGATATTTATGACGAACAATCAACACCCGCAAACAGCAACAACCACACACACACACAGTTAGGGCTTGTATCGGAAACTAAAAGGCTTTATGAAGCTATAGATACACGCTTATCTATCTATCTTTACACACTGGCATTGCGATGAGAAATGCATTGATATGTAATTCAATAGCAAAACTAATAAACTGCAACTGCAATTGCAACTGGGAGTGCGAGTGCGAATGCGAGTGCAACTTTTATTGAGGCAGCCGACCACCCCAGGTGGGTTTCGATGCCAAACGATTCCTGCGCTATTTACCTTCGATACAATCTTGGCCAGGTGAGTGCCACCGACACGGGCATAAATCAAAGCACAACTCGAGAGTTATCAAGATATGGCATAGCCAGCACAACAAACTTGCAGTTGAAACAACAGTTATCTACACTGCGAGAAATGTAGCTAAGCTTTATTCTTTACGAAGAACAAAACAGAATATTTATGGTTTCATTATTATTCATTTACTCTGATATTAAACATAAGTATACTAACTTACTTAGCCAACCTCGTAGTACATAAATTAAAGATTACATTTTTCCGAAAGTGCACTTAACTGCTGCAGTTTACAGTTTAGAACTTCAGTGGCATGAGTAATCGATGCCGGTGATGAGCAGAGCGGACTAAAATGTTAGAAATGAATTTTAAATATTTTATCGATGGCGTTCGTGACTCACTTGAGTCCCAGTACCAGTCCCAGTCCCAGTCTGGGCTTCTGACTCCCGGCGGACGCTCGCATTTTGATCAAATGTGGCCCAAGCCAGGTCGGAGGCAACCACAGAAATCCCCCACAGAAATGCCTCAGAAGGGCCGGAGTGGCCTGACTATATATGTGAGTCACGTAGCCGGGCGGAGCATGTAAATGACTTGGGTGACAAACAGACTATAGACTGCTGATATTTGGGGGCGGCAGTGGGATAGACCTTGTCACATTGTCTCCAAAGCCCAGGAAAAATTAGAGAGCATGAGTTTGTCGCTTTGCTTTTCGGTTTTCCTTTTTTTTCTCTCTTTTTTTTGGGTCTTTTAACTTGTTTTGCTCATTCGTGACACGCGCCAAAACACAAATTTCTGTTCGATTTATGCAATTGAGGAAACAAGTTCGACGACTGGGGAAGATTGCTTTCGGCTTGTGGCTTCTCTGGATTTGGATTGGTGGAGAATGGGGTTTCAGTCAGTCAGTGGTTGGGGCCAAAGTGGATACCACGAACGGGACACGAAGTCCAATAAACGTTTTGCGGTAAATGCGAAATTAATAATTAAGCAGGCTCAACTGCAAGGAGTTAGTCGCACAGTTGAGGAATATTTATGGCCAATGTCAATTGGTTTCTCTACGAAGTGTGATTACTTTTCGGGGAATGAATTTCTTCGAGGAAATTGTAGAGAGCCTGAGGAAATTAACTTAAATACCTCTTTTTCTACAGCAAAAATTTCAGTTAAGAGCAGTGATTGGTATTGTTGTTTGCCATAATCACATTTCGTAATAAATAGCACACTCAAAAAGATAAAGTTTTTAATTAAATCCTTAATAAATCAATTTAATTCGCTTTTTCAGCCAAGCATCACAAATCGTTATAGAAGTATGGAACACATTTAAGGCGAAATTAAATCACATTAAAAAGTATGCACCCAGCAATCCTCTAACCATAAATCAATTAGGCTATTAATTGGCGGCAAGATATAAGTTTCAAACAAATAATGAAACAACAATCGAGACAAACAAACATTCCCTGGAATAAATCAGTCTAATAAACTTGTTCAACAAGCCGAAACCCCGGCCAGATCTCTCCGAGATTACTCCTTTCGAAGCTCGAGAGAAACACTCCCCGGCAGTTGGATCCCACACACATTGAGGAATTTATGTGCCATGACTGTCTCATAATTCCTGTATGCATTTTGTATCGTATTTTTATATACCCTTAGTATATATATATATGTGTGTACTTTATCGGCGGCGAACGCTTACCATATGTGGGCAATGTCACAGATTGCTCATGTTCGTGTTCCAATGCAGCGGGTAACTTGAGAACTTATTCGGGAACGACTCTGCTGTCCGGGCATTTATTTCATTAGCACGCAGATCAAGGGAAAGGATAAGGGGAGTCGGGAGGGGGAGGGGGAGGGCTGGAGAGAAAGGAGCGGACCAGAACCCAGAAATTCATTAAAGGGAAAAATTCGAATAAGAAAAACCAAGACGATGCCCGGCGAACGATAAACCCGCGACATGCGACATGCGACTCCAAAAAACACACACAGCTCGACCGCTGGGTGACAGAGCGTTTGTAATTTATTTAACTGCATTTTTGTGGGATGTGGATTCGATTTCCGAGGACCAGAATTTGTATACGCACAACGGATTAATGCGCCCGTGTGATGCCAGAAGATACAGATACAAAGATACAGATACAATGATGCTGGTTCGACCATGTTCGAAGTCTGCGGCAGGTAGAGATGCCACGATAAGATTCTCTGGGATCCTTTGGGTTCTGGCTTGTGTGTAAGTGAGTGTGTGTGTGTGGTGCAGTCGAGGCAAATATAAATATTTATGTGGAAAACAGCAGGCGTTTTGTCAAAATATTTGTGTAAGACCTCGGAGCAATCCACATTCTGAGCTAAACAGATTTCTGATTCCGGCTTGCCAGACCGATTTGTACCCCGAAATATTGTTTACACACCCGATTCTGTTTGTCTTTATTGATGCCAGCAGTCAGATTGTATTAAGTCATTCGCTCGGCAAAGAGTTCATAGGATCTTGTGGTCTCTTCCTAGGGCCAGGTGTAACGCCCCTCGCTTCCTCTCCTTTCTATGAAAAATTGCTGGCTTCTGTGGGTTAGATAGCATATAGCCGGAGACAAAGGGTAGAGAGAGCGGGGTGGCTAAGGACACATAATCCTTTGGCCTGTCATAGCTAAGAGTTGCGTATCCTTCGCCTTCCTGCATTGCAGCATCTGTCTTTTTTGCCACACTCTTTTGGGCCATAAATCGTCTCAACTGGGTTAATTCAATCTGAAAGGGATTTCATTGTGCCTTCTAATCTGAGCTTAATTACGAGATATATGGGGATCGAGGTTTTTGCTACAATTATTTTATACATTTTTATTGTTTGCATAAAAAAGAATTTCTTTGTGAAATAATACATACTTTTTAAACAAGACAGAGATTCAATTTAATAATTAATTTCGTCTGTTTAAATATGAAAGCGTTTTTAGAGTTTAAATATGGGAAATATTTTGTCGTAAAATTTACATTCTTAGGGTATATTTTTCTAAAATATGTTGAATTTTGTAACTTAAGCATTTTTGATGATATTATTTACAAAATACAGTTTTTAGTAAACTTAATAATTAACAGCATAGCTTAGTCTAGGTTCTTTAGCAATATATTTGACTTTTTCTTTTACTGTAGTAGCTAATTTTCTAGTCGTATTTACCTTCCCAAATTATCTTTTTCTCCACAATCCCCCTTCTAGCTACTCCCAATTTTGCCTCCAGCAGTTGGCTTCTGCCACGCGGTCGACTTGCCGCATTATCCTATTTTATTTACTGCTAATGCTGCGCTTTCGACGTCTAAATCGCATTTGCTGTGATTTTTTCCCCACTTTTTCCTACATATACACTCTCATATACATTTTTTCGGGTTGGCCAACAACGACAGCAGGAGCAGCATAAAACACATCATTAATTTAAGGCGATGCTACGAGACAAACACATATATTAGGCGAAAGGACTAACGGCCGAGCTCCATCATCAAACGGGCCAAAAGTCAAAGGACTTAAGTAGCATTGGCAACAACGGCTAAAGCGCTGGCAAAGAACAAAAATTAATTTAGCTTAATTCGTCCACGAAACTTTGGTTGAGGCCAGCAGCCAAGTTGGATGCTCAGATGCTCGAGTGGATGTGTGTGCGAGTTGGACTCCTTGGGGGCTTTCTGCCTCTGAATCCTTTAATCCCATTGCCTGCCAGTTTAATTATGTAGTTTATTAGGCGGAAATGAAAAAGCGAAAGCCAAAAGCGGAAACGGAAACCAAGCGACGACCGAAAGAACTCTGCCCTCTTATACAATTTATATATGCACAAGGAGTCGACTAAACCACTTCGCCCAACTCACTTCGCCCGACCTCTGAATCATTTAACTCTACTTTGCATATATAGAGTGGGGCTTAAAAAAGGTTAAACTCTTTTTTGCTTACCTTATTCGGCGGCTGCACTCAATAAATTAGACAAAAGTCAAGCGGGTACTGAAAAAGAAAACAAAGAAGGTTCAAATTAGCTTAGAAATGTAGGAAAGTTAAGAAGGTTGCATGAGGCAGTGAGTACTCTGAGATTTTAAGATATTTCGTTTTTGTTTAAAAGTATCTATAAAGAAAAAAAAATTCGTTTTAATATATTTTCCGAACTTTTTGTATTTATAATTTTCCAAGATCTGGAAAAGCCCTGACCCCACCTAACATAGCAGCCACTCCTCAAAGGGTAACTTAAATTGAAAAAGAAAAGGCCAAAGGTTTCTTTTCTTTCATTTTCATTGTTTCAAGGCTGAGTGCCTTGCACTTGTTATGGAAAACAGAACGAGAGCATTTTGTTTTTCGGGCCAAAGGTTTCCAAATTCATGCCTGGCAGGCAAGCGGCCAATTTTCCAACTGTAGTCTAGAGGAATTTTCGTAAATTGCCCCACAATCAGCATAAATTTTGTCAGCTAGCCCAAATTAGCCTCATGCAGACTCCCACAGAAAAGTAAGCAACCCAACGTCTAACCATCCACCCCGAAGACTTGCCTCCTCACTCGTATTGAAAGGCACAAATTTGTGCTAATGAGTTTTGAAAAAGGGATTTGTAGGTGGCCTGAGTCGACCTGCTTAATGCTTGGCCAGCTTTCGGGCCCACTCCACTCCACAGTCGGAGCAATCTCGACTAACCTCGCCTAACCTTACCTCATCTGATACAGAATCCCAGTTAGTCACGTGTGTCGACTCGGCCCGTAATTGAGTTAAACTTTTCTAGGCCAGGCCAAAAGGCTTCGACGTCTTTCTTTTTTTGCCATGCCGTGCCGGTAGGAAAATGGAATGAGCCACGATTGCATCAGTCGATGGGTCGAAACTCTTTTGGCCCGGCTGTGGAAAGTTTTTAAAGCTCAAACACACACTCGAGCAATTGAAAGTGTTTGCTGGCTATGTGTGTGCATATCGAACCATATCGAACGTGCCACAGAATTCATCTAGCGAACCAACAAATGCTGGCTAACACAAACCAAAAGCCCGTACAAATATGGTCAGAACGAACGTTTATGCGGTGAAGGAGATCGGGATGTTTTCCAATGGGTATGCTTTGTGGTTATAACAAAATAGATTCTTTAGATTGATAAGCTATTTCATTAAGGTAAGGTCATGAATCTAATATTTTAGTACGGCTTTCATGAATTAAATTAGTAAATAAAGTCTAATAAAGTATCCCACAAGAACACACTAATTGAGAGTATTATTAATAGTTGATTGGAACGAAAACTAACAATTAGAATAGCTCACTTTCCACGATTTAATCCCATAAACCTCGCCTGCTATCCTACAGAAATGAGTATTTTTTTGATTTTTAGATGTGTAATCCAAATATGGCAAGTGCCATGGCTATGGCTGCGATCTGAATCTGGAGTGGCAAAAGCACTAGACACCCGCACACAATGGAAAGTGCATTTACATTCAGGAGGAGGATGGGCGTTTGGATTGGGATTGGGCCAGCAGGCAGTCTGCTAGGCAGGCGCACTCCAAATGTTATTGAAATATTTATAAGTTAGACACCAGGCCGAGCACATGGAGGGACCTCAACACTTACAGCAATCAAATGCACACAATAAAACATTTTCAATAACTCTTTCGACGCTGCGACTGAGGCCATTAAGGATTGGAAAAGCCGCCCTGAAAACCACCAGAAACCCACAAATGCTCTCCACAGCACACAATGGGATCCCCAAATGCAGGCGTAGTTTCTGTGCCAGTCCACTTCTCATTGTGTCCCACTGTGCCAAAAGCCCACCCAAACGAGTGTGGTTCTCAGTGCACTAGGCAATGTCAGCAGGTACATAGAAAATAAAAACTATAAACCAATGGTAACAGAGGTAAGCCTTTGATATGAAACCTAACTAAGTTAACATAAAATGAAGTTTTAAATAGAAATATTACTACTAAAACTCTTTCATTTACTTGACAATCCGCCTAATAAAATTATGTAGTACTGAAAAAATTATAAAAAATCTAAATAGTATTACTAATTACTTAGTACTTTCTCCCAGTGCGCCAGAAATCGGAGGCAAAGCAGAGTTCGCTTTTCAAGTGGCTATCAATCGTTGCCCTTGCCGGTTTCTGTTTCTATTTAATGCCACAAAAAATGTTCGGGCTCCGCTCTCTCAACTGATGATGGAATTATTTGCAGTTAAAGTACACGAAACAAAAAGTACAGACTAGCGGCCACTTCACTACAAAATTGTGGGCTCTATATTTTTAGTTAGCTGCGGAGCTCAACTAGTCCCATATGAATATAGACGAGCGTTTGATTGCTTTGAAAACACGCGGCTGGATCTCTCGCTTTTCCGCATTTCTATCTGTGGCTGGATCTCTCTTTCCTTTTTCCCTTTCGTAAATTACTAACGAGTTTCTCCGGTGGGCGGATGGTGGGATGGGTAGATGGTGCTTTTTTGGAGGGGGGAAATAAAATGCAAGTCACGTACGAGGAGAGTGGGTGGCTGTGGGGAGGCGAAACGCGACATCAGCAAGGACATTGTCAAACACAAAGCTTGCCGCTTGTCCTGTTCAGCATATCCTAGGTCCTTCGCCTCACTTCGCCCTGTCTTCGGCGTCACTCAACGCCGCTGTTTGTTTGTCAACAACCCGAACCCATCACACCCCCAAACCCCCTTTTGAACAAAAAAGGAAACCCCCTCGGAACCCCTGAAAAACGCAAATTGCGCAAATCCTTTTAAAGGCAACGGCAAAGCGAATGCCGCTACGCGTTTTCCCTCCATCCCCCTGGAAAGTCCTTCTGCCGACGCCCATGATGGCCATGTTTAAATACGCAAACAGCCGACAGAAGCTACGTGCTTGGAAAATAATTTAAAAGCTCAAAAGGTGAGCAAAAGCAATGCACATAGGCACGTCCTAACAACAACAACAACAGCAACAAACCAGAAACAAAGACTGCAAAAAATTGTATTTATTATGGCGGAGATTGATGAATAATGGGATACCCTCTTCGACAATCAAGGGAGGATATTAATGGTTTATATTGCGGAGAAAAGTTGGTCAAAAATAAGTTTAAGTTCAGTTCATTAGGTGTAGGATGAGGTATAAATTAAATCAGAAACCATTGACAAGATGTTTAAATTAGTATTCTTCACATACTGTATAATATTATTAAGCCCGAAACTAACTACAACTAACTAGTATTCCCTTTAGATTTATAAGGAGTTTAAAATAAAAAAATTTGTGAAGGTGTAAAATGTGACCCCAAGATTAATGTATTTCTAAAACTCATTCTCTTTAATGTTCCTTTTTGGTTATTTAAAATCCCTAACTTAAAATCTTGTATCAATGATTGGTTTGTAAATCACTTTTAAGGCCACGTTAAACCGCTTTCAAGCCATTACAGGGTAGCCACAAAATGGCGTAAAAAAGCCACCGAACCCACCTCCATTTGAGGCCCAGCTTCTCGCTTTCCCTTCAGTTGCCACTTTTTTCATAGCTTTTTTCACAGGCAACTCGTGTGTTTGTTTTAAAAATTTATGAAAATTTGTTTTTCCCCAAAGCAGGAGCCAAAGGAAGCCGGCGAAACATCAAAAGGCACGAGAAGACAACAAGAAACTGCAGTCGTGAGGAAAGCGGAAAAACGGGATGAGAAAACCGAGAAAGGGAAAGGGGATTCGGAGGAGCAATCATCTGGGCAATTTGCATTTTCAATTTGCAGCAACAAACAAGACAGAGAGAGAGAGATAAGCGCGGGACCACAAAACGCCGCCTAAAACGCGACCTAACGAAGCAATAATCAATTATCAATAAATTTCACCGACGCCTCGCCACGCCCACCCACCGAGAATGAATACGGAAGGGAAAGCTCCAGGCGCTGATTAAGGATGTTTTTTGGCTTTTATCTCAGAGTCGAAGACATCTCGACGGTCTTTATGACCTGTCGAGTGGGGAATATTCGCCAAATATTTGCTTCTTCAGCCAGCTCGATTGGCTTCTGGTCTCTGGTTTTCGGAGCAGGGTCTGGCTTCTGGCCTTCTTTCGTTACTGTTCTCGTTTCGTCCTCAAATTGTCCTCGCAGTCACGCCCTTTCCGTGCTTTAATGACATTTTAAGCACACAAACACGCACGTATGCAAAAAATATAGAGAAAGAAACGGTTGGGGGAAGAAATTCTACGTAGCATCCACGTAAACAATGTTTATACGTGGTGAAAATGTATCTTAAATGGTTTTAAAGGAGGTTTAAAAACGAACTTGTATATGCTATAAGTATTCAAAAAGGATTTTCAACAAGCTGTTTATTAATTTTTCATATTAATAGGCAAAACTGAATACATCTGATTGGTACAGATTTAGTTACTTTTAAATTTATCTGAATAACTTTCCTTTTAAAATTAATTTTAAAATGTGTTCGTGCCTTAAAAGTTATAATAATTCATAATTATTATTATATTTATCAATATTCAAAGTTAAGGGATTATCTGACGTATACTATGGCAGACAGTAGCCTCTTGCCAAACAGGGAACTCCCAAATTTCACATTCACTCTCTCTCTTCGCAATTTATGAGCCCGCATAAACGGAAATTGCAAGCCCAGATGACAGTTAACGACATCGAGACACCTTAACACCTTGTCGCCCAGCGACTGCGTAACAAGAACAAGAACGAGAGCAGATGAGCAGCCTTGAGCGAAACAGGATGCCTTCATCTCCTGTTATTGGTATCCTGGCATCCCGGCCCTTTGCTGTTTTATCCTTGACTGCATTTTGGCGGCACTTGCTTTCTGTTTTTCCGCTCCTCACCCTCCCCCCACTGACACCGGCCCGCCTCTTTGCAAATTACTTTGCAAAAATGAAGAGACAGGCACCTGCAACATTTTCTACTCGGAGAAAAGGCCAGGCTTAGGTGAATATTCTTGTGTTTTTAATTTAAACTCAAATGTGGACGTGGTTAAAATTTAGAAAGAGATTTGAATTTCCTAATGAATAAATGTTTTAAAAAGAGCCCGAGT